CCTCCCCCCTCCCCCCAGTGATTGACTGCCACCACAACCGGTCGCCCACAGGCCTTCCTTTGGAGATGGTATCATTTTCCTGTAATTACCTGAATGAATAAATCTGTATATAAGGAAAACCATCACTGTTATTGGAAAAAATTATATTAGTACTTGCTGTACTCGTATATAATATTTTAATTCTTTCTTATATTCTTAAAGGAATAAATTCATGTTGACTACTTTCTGTATTAATGTTTTAGTCGACCCAGTTTCTACTCGTAATTTTCTCAAGGTGAAGATAAAAACACGATCTTTAGATAATAAACTATACGCTCTAAAAGTTTGTTTTTGTTTTTATCAGACTTTAAACATCGTTTTTTTACTTTACTGTATTAATTTTAAATCCTCAAATTTTTCTTGACAAGATATAACGATTGCTATACCTATCTTACGTGATCAAACAATTCATTGAAACAGAAAACTACTCGACTCCTTAGACTCATATAATAAACTAATTTCAGAAATCAAAATCATACATCGAGTCCTTGATTCTTTATAATCATTTTATTCGTAACAAATTTTGTGATCACTGGAATGATTTGAGTCAGTATGAGTCATCAAATCAATAAACAATTCCATTGGAAACTCAAACTGAGTTAAATGATTCAATCATTTGATCGAATCCTCATAGTTGAATTGAATGATTCGAATAATTGAAAATAATCGTTTCGCTTGTCACTATTCTAGTGACAAGCGAATGCAAATAAATGTGCTATTAATTTAAACAGCACATTTATTTGTAAGATTTAAACTTTACGTTTAAAAACAATTTAAATCAATTTTAATAGAGTCACTTTTATTAATTATATTCAGATTTTATATAATTATATGCATAATACGCATCTATTTATAAAAATAAAATAATAATAATAATACGTGCTATTACGATGGCTAGCTGCCAAGACAAGAACCAGCTTTGTTTCTTTTTTATAAAATCATTCGTGTGCAAAATAATTTTAACCAACATCAAAAGATTATTTTTACTAATTATGTATTCTTCCACCCTCTTCTCTGTCATGTAATTGGTCCCGAATTCGTGTACCTTTTCATAAAATTTGTCTTATATAAACAAATAGAGACTTTTATCAAGAATATTAACGGTAAATATAACCGAAACCGATATTCTTCACAATTAATATCTATTTCATAATATCTGTTTCAGACACAGCAAAATGAAAGTACTTTACGTTAAACTATAAAATACTTTTTATTTTTTATTCTTTCTGCCCTGTGGACACTAAGAGATTCTTTTTATCACACACATTGAGGGTTCGCAATGGGGAAGCCGGATGATAAACGGATGACGCGCCCGACATATCTGGGACAGAATATTTTCTGAAAATTTCTCTGGGATAACGGATCCGATCTCAAGTCTACCAGAAAAGTAAAGATTAAAATGAATATTATATATTATTTTATTTTACTTTTTCCGCCCTGTGGGCACTAAGAGCGGGCATGCTTTTAGCAAGCCTATTATGGGTTCGGTCAGTCCCACAATGGGGCGGCCAGGTGGTGATGGACGGGAGCCGACATATTCGGTCGGACCACACCCCGAAAATTCCTGGAGATTTTTTCGACTCGTCCGGATTCGACCTCGGATCCCTAGAGCGGTAGGCTGCCACCTTGACCGTTCGTCCGTCCAATATTATTTTATTTTATAATTTCTTCTTGCGCGTTTAGAATACCAATCACTTTTTACTTCCATCATAAAAATAAAAAAAATTAGAGCTTCACTTGTTAAATAACTTAATGAGTTGTTTGAACTCGTTATAAAATTGGACACGGTGGAAAAAAAATTAACCGTCAACTCCAAACTTCAGATGGCGCTGAAGACAAATATTTCTGATATAAAAAGTTATAGAAGCCTTCCACACTCGTTATTTGAATTTCCGTATTCGTCATTGTGCGGTTGTGGTTTAGGGAATTTTGCTTTCCTTTTAACAATTAACGCTATTTACATTTCATAGAAAATGTCTCTCGACGAGGTGAGCTTTATATCTGAATATATAGTTAATTATGTATCTTAGAATGTATTATTTAATATTTAATTAAATTAAATAAGTACTCTTTCTATTATATGTATGCTATATCAATCCAGTTCAAAAGTCTAAAGTAAAAATAGCTATATTTGATGTTTTGGACTTAGAAGTTTATAGGATTTGGACTTCTAAGTTTGAATTTGAATATATGTGATTAAATTAAAAGATAATTCCTTGCCTTTCTTTGAATGTTAGTCAAAAATTTTATATACATTCAACATGTATTAATTCAACTTCAAACATATAAAAATCCAAAGTTATAAAAAGTCCAAAAGATCTGAAACATGTATCATACAAATCTGAGGTCCAAACTCCAAAGTTACTCAAATTCAAAGATAAAAATTCTAAATTTAGAATATGGTGTTTAACTGGATTCTAGATTTTGGACTTTTGTATAAATTTGGGTTTTAGCTTATGTAACTTAAGTTGAAATTTACATAAATCCAAGGTTCCAATAAACTGGAGTGTATTCTTTTGATTAGGTTTACTTATTATAAAAAAAAATTAGATTAAATTATTTTTATTTTACTTTTTCACTCATCTTGACTTCCAATATAATAAAAATTAAATTTTTTTTTTTTAAGTCTTTCAACAAGGCAGCTGAAGATGTTAAGAATTTAAAATCCAGACCTACTGATCAAGAATTGCTAGAGTTATATGCACTCTATAAACAAGCAACAATTGGGGACTGTAATACAAGTAAAGTCCTTTTTGTATAATAAAAATTATTATTAAATATAAACATAAGTAAAAACAAAACTTTTTCAAATTAAGATCATTTTTCCCCATTTTTAAATTGATTTTTACTAATTATCAATGTAATTGTAGGTCGTCCTGGAATGCTAGATTTAAAAGGAAAAGCTAAATGGGAGGCATGGAATGGGAAGAAAGGTATATTTACTTTTTCTGAGAAATTTCCTTATATAACTTTGTGTAATTCTTATATTCTATACAACTTTTCCTCAATTTTATAAAGGAAGTTATCTATGTAAATGTTTAAAACAATTTTTTTTTTTATGTAGGCATGAGTCAGAATGATGCTAAGGAAGCATATGTAAAATATGCAAGTGAACTCATTGCAAAATATGGAAATTAAATTATTCTATATGTAGAATTACATGCTTTATTATATATTCCAAACTTTCATTGAAAGCACTTGCTTTTTGTCTACCAAACTTCAAAAGATTTTTTAATTATTATTGTTTATATATTGATATATCATCTGTTGTTTAAAATTTATGTATATTTAAGAAATAAACATTGTTTTTCTTTTTTTAAATGAATTGTTGTTAAAGTGGAATTTTAATGAAGTATATATTATCTTAAATTGTTTTAATGTGTGAAAAAGCACAATAAGTTATATTATATATATTTCAAAATTGTTTATAATATGACTGATTATCTAAATTTACATTCAACAATAAACAAATATTTTTAAAGATTTCTCAAATTTACTAAATCTTCAAAATCCTTTCATTTTTTTTATTTGACTTTGATCCAATCCTTGCTGAGTTAATGATTAATTCAAAAAGTTACTTTCCTATAAGGTGTTGATTGGCTTTATTTTTAAAAAAAAAATATAGTTTTAAATTAATGAATTAAAAATAAGTTGTAAGTAATAAAGTTTCATAAATTGTTTAACAAACTGATATACAAGGAACTTTCAAGAAAAATGCTTTCTTTAGTATTTTTTCCACATGAACATTTTATTCTATGTAAAGTATATTTTAATCTATAGTGGATTTAATTCTAAATGTATACGAGGGTTTTAAGTAGATTAACATGAACATTTTTTAGTTAAAATATTCAGGTGATAAATCATTCTATGTTAAATATTAATGTACTGATACTTATCTTCCATTACTTATGTAAATGAAAAAAACTGCTTAAGAACTCAATCTAGTTATTTATAGTAATACAACAAATGTTGAAATAGAAAATCATTATATTGAATTTAGTGTTAACTGGTATTTTATTATTATCCTGTAGTAATTTTTTTTGTTAATTTATTATATAAATTAACATTTTTAAAAGTGTATTTATAAAAAATATTTTTTATTAAATAAATAAAGCACAAAGTTAGAATTTTGTTTTAAAATATAGACATTTTCACTAATTCTTGCTTCTTAATTTTAAGAACTATCGAATATAAATTGATATTTCAAAATAGAGAAAAAAATATAAAGAGCAAGATTGTTAACTAGAGCATAAGCAATATTTAGTATAAAATGTACTGATCATAATATAGTTTTTTCATTGTTTTAGTACTAAAATGATTAAGTTAATAGTCACTAGTCATGCAAGAGTATAATTTTATAGATGAGAAAAATTAATTCATCTAATCATTTGTTAAAGGGTTTGTTTTGCATGACATTCAATCATAATTTAACATATTTAATCTAATTATTTTTCATAAAACAATAGAAAAACTTTGGACTAAAGTAAAGTATATAATAAACATATAAATATAGGTTATATAAATTAGGTCAGTGTACAAATATAGACCTATATATTATTTCCTAATTTATATTGATAAAAAGTTAACAGATATTTTTTAAAGTACATTTTATTTTAGTCTTTACAGAGGTGTTTACAATTTAAATTATTTCTATATTTAAATTGTTTTAGTGATAGGGTGAAGCTATCATACTGAATTTTTTTTTTTGATAGTAAATGTTACAATTTCACTTTACTTTCAGAGAATTTAAATTAAATTTTAAAAAATCATGTAGAAATTAAATTTTTCGCTTAACAATTTAAAAAACTTTAAAATTAATTTTTTTGTGATTAAATGCAATAATAATTTATATACTATAAAATATGAATACAAAAAAACTGTCTTGAAAAATATTATTTAAGACATTGGAAAATAAGAAAATCTCAATTTTTTGGTTTGAATTTAACTCAGTTTTTTTTTTCTTATTTTACTTTATGAATGTGGAAAAAATTTAAAGACTCATTGTTAAAGAATAGAATGATATTTGGAGCATGACAAAATGAAGATCTTCACCTTGACAGAGAATAAGCAAAGTTTTTAATATAAAAAAGGATAATATTTTCTTCTTAGGTACAATATATTTTAAACCACAATTGTATAAAAAAATTAAATACAGAATAATTATGATTATATAAAGTAATTATACCTTAGAAAAAATTTACGAATAACTTCTCAGTCACTATCAATAGCATTAATTACACAATTATTTTTTAAGAATTGTTTCATTCTTTGAAAATGATTAAAGAATATTGAGAAATAAAAAAATTGTTTCAGCGTTATATATAATTTTTAATTATTTGAAATTAAAACAAATTAATATAAAATATTATGTAATAAATTGGAATCGTTTCAATTGAAAAAATAATCTGTAATTTATTTTAAATATACAGTACTGTATTATCCAATTTTTATTATAAAATTATTCTTTTTGATAGTAATTTGTAAATGTAAATATATTCTAAATACAGTAATTAAAAAGTTTTCAATTAACTTATTAAATTTATATTTCTATACATACATCTGTATATAATATTTATCAAATTACTCTCCTATACAATCTTAATATTTATCACTAGTAGAATATTTGTTAGTTATTTTTATGTAATGAGAAAATTCTAAAAATATAAAAATTACTTCATATTTCTCTTATTGCAAATAGATCTGAAGATAAGTATAATGACTTATATTCAATTATATAGTTACTGTCTGTATGTACCTTAAAATGAATACAATAATCTGATGCAAGGACTAATTTGTACATATTAGAAATATTTATTTTGTAACATATATGAATATATTTTGATATTTTAAATTCAAATAAAGGAAATCCAACAGAGAATTATGAAAAGTCTCATTAATCTGAAATTTTCTGAATATTTCAACTATACTTTTTTTTAAGTGTAGATGAAATTCAATTTTATTTTTATTTTTACATAAATATTTTGAAAGAAACTATACATTTTAATAAAAAAATAAATTTAGATATTGATACAACCATGAAAATATTTTAATATAATACATATAAATCCAAATTTTGTTTAAAAACATGTAAAATTATACCATTTAAAATTTTTTTGTATGGACTCTTGATTTTTCTACTTCTTTATTTCTTTAGAATATCATAAAGCAATTTGTAGAATGTGGTATAAAGTTAAATTTCATTGAAACATTCAAGTGTCGAAAGTTTTAATAAAAATATTCCTTTATAATTCTGAAACAAAATGGCAGACGAAAATCATCTTGTAATTTTAATTAGCAACGTAAAAGATATTTGAGTATTACATTAGCACAATTTCTGTGATTTTAATTCCTTCCTCTCTTATTCAAGCAATTTTAGGCATTGTGTTGATTCCTTCCTCTCGAATTTATATAAAATTATGTTCATATGCTCCTTATCTATGCTTACAATAAGACTGCAATTTTTTAAAGATACATACAGTCTGAATATTTGTAAAAGTTAATGATATGTTTTTATATATTTTTAAATACAAAATACCTCAAAACTAACTTACATAAGTAACCTTTCCATATCCATATAAGCAAACGTAAGATTTTCTTTAACGCTCAAATGTTTACATAAATCTCAATATTCTCAGACCTTAAAAAGTAGAATTTCTAATTCAAATACTGGAAGAAAAATCAGTACAGACAAACGGACAGATAACGAGAATGACAAGTTATTTGATTTAAAAATGAATATATTTATATTATTATACTCTAATATCTTTAAGGAACTACAAAAGTATGCACTTCTAAGAATATAAAAGTAAAGATTATTTGTACTTTTAATGTTTATAACATTGAAAACTTTTGTTTTACTTATAAATTTATTAAATCATGTGATAAATATAGTTAATACTATAATATTAACAAACTGTATTTTTATAATTGTGATACTGGTATTTTGAGACTATTGAGTAAGCAAAAATATAGCAGGTAAATATAGGTTAAGTACAGTTCATCGTTGTCAATCACGGAAATATTTATGATGTTACTTCTTTAAGAAAAGAATCAGGATTTTACAAATACTTAAATTTTATTAAACAGACATTAAAATTATTCATGCATCAAGTGTAAAAGAATTTATACAATTAACAATAAACATAAAATTGTTCATCCATTTTCAATGCTATTTTACATCCTATGCCCTATTAACTTTTAAAGAATTTAAAATGAATTTTTAAAAATCGATTTATTTATTACAAATTTAATAAAGCTACTTACAAAAAAAAAATACTTTTAGAAATTTCTAGATTTGTTTCCTATTTGATTTCTGTATTTGCCTTTCTCAGGTCAAGATCTATCAATGACTTAGATCAAAATTTTGAAACCGTTTTTTTATTTATTAATGAAAAATATTTTTGGCTTAGGAATAAAAACTTTTTTCCTAAAATAATGAAAAAAAATTTAATTTTTTTAATAAATATTAAACTGTTTTTCATCAAGATTTGAAATCTATCGTGATAATCAGGATGCTAGAAATATATATATTTTTAAATACAAAATACCTCAAAACTAACTTACATAAGTAACCTTTCCATATCCATATAAGCAAACGTAAGATTTTCTTTAACGCTCAAATGTTTACATAAATCTCAATATTCTCAGACCTTAAAAAGTAGAATTTCTAATTCAAATACTGGAAGAAAAATCAGTACAGACAAACGGACAGATAACGAGAATGACAAGTTATTTGATTTAAAAATGAATATATTTATATTATTATACTCTAATATCTTTAAGGAACTACAAAAGTATGCACTTCTAAGAATATAAAAGTAAAGATTATTTGTACTTTTAATGTTTATAACATTGAAAACTTTTGTTTTACTTATAAATTTATTAAATCATGTGATAAATATAGTTAATACTATAATATTAACAAACTGTATTTTTATAATTGTGATACTGGTATTTTGAGACTATTGAGTAAGCAAAAATATAGCAGGTAAATATAGGTTAAGTACAGTTCATCGTTGTCAATCACGGAAATATTTATGATGTTACTTCTTTAAGAAAAGAATCAGGATTTTACAAATACTTAAATTTTATTAAACAGACATTAAAATTATTCATGCATCAAGTGTAAAAGAATTTATACAATTAACAATAAACATAAAATTGTTCATCCATTTTCAATGCTATTTTACATCCTATGCCCTATTAACTTTTAAAGAATTTAAAATGAATTTTTAAAAATCGATTTATTTATTACAAATTTAATAAAGCTACTTACAAAAAAAAAATACTTTTAGAAATTTCTAGATTTGTTTCCTATTTGATTTC